GTCAAGTGTGGAACAGGTTGGATTAGGACTGGGGAACTTTTCTCCGAGAGAGACTTTGTTAGCTCCCTGTCGTTTGCTGCAAAAATTGTTTACATAATCAATTGTACCTCAAGGCAAAAGTGTACAGTAAAGAAAAAATACTTTATGCCAGCCTCTACTGAGATAAAACATCATTTTGGAAAGTAATGCATTTTCCCACAAATCATTAAACTGTTCCAAATCAGAAGGATCTTTACATATTCTTGCCTATTCTTGCATATTCTTGTTGCCTAACAGACAGACATCACTCCTTTGTGAAACAAAGAGAGCATTTGCTAAATTTAAAGCAATAAATGAGTATTGGAACCAATACTGGTAGGACTTTCTTACATACTTCATGGTTATGTTTAAATCATATGAGAACAGATCCTCTGTTGATATAAACTGGAATATCTGCTGTAGCTTTATGGCATTACAGCCGCAAAGAAACACAGCAGCCTGTGTGAGGTGGGAGATCACCCTAATTCATAGTATGCTAGCATTTTTATCTGGTCAGAACTGCTAAGCCAGAATTTGAAGTCCTTCTAAGTGTTGCCACTACTAGAATAAAACCATCAATAGAAATCTGATATGGATATTTCTGAGTGACACCTCTCAAATGAGTGAGTGAGGCCCCTGTAAGGGAGCAATCCACTTCTCTGGAGCATGACATACTTGTATTTGTCGGAGAACTTTTCATTATGCCTATTCTATTTCTTGTTCCTATGTATCAGAAATAAAATGCATTTCAGAATATGAATTCATTCACACTGCATGTTAAAATATGGTATTTTATGCTGAAAGTGTTTTAAGTTTATATATTCATTGCCATTTTTCTGTATTCATGCAAATATTGGCTAGTAAGACCCAGCAACATATTAAATCAAAGAGTATGAATGAGGATATTGTAAAATTGTATCAAGCAAATTCCTTCTTTAGAGGTAACAGCAGTAAAAAGATAAGAGTAAGATCTGTTATTTGAATGTGAAATAAGCAGGAAGAAATCATACTGTGGTATAGTAGCT